CAGAAGTCAGAAGACCTCAGGATTCACAGAGACTCGCTGTGATGCAAAGATGTTGGAAAAATACTTCACTGCAGGTGAAATTTCACTGCAGTTTGTTGAACTCACTTAAGATAGAAACACTACGAATGGATAAAAAGTGGGAAGTTTTGTCATGTCCACTCCAAGTACACATAAAAGACCTCACAAGGGTATAACACTGCACGGCAGAAACTACCTATAGTTTTGCAATATAGGTAACAGAACCCCACCTTTTGGGGGGTTTTGTTTTCTGTCTGGACATACATGTAATATTTACCCCCCTTTAGTGTGTGAAGGATGCAGTAATTTTGCTGTGGCAGAAGAATATAAACAATAATTTATAAGCCAGGTCACAAAAATTTTCATTTACAGATTTTCCCATGCCCTGTTGTTTTCCTTGCAATCTATAGGCTCAGAATGTCCATATTTTCATCAGTAAGAATTATTCAGGGAAAGCAGATTCTTCCCAACTTTATTCGAAATTGTCCATGTTTTTGAGTAAAAAATTAGCATTGACTCTGAAGCTTTTCTGTGTGGGATCTGTTCGCAACACAGCTGTGCATTGTGGGCAGTTATCTTTATGACTGTGGGACAACCTTAGATGGGTGTTACCTAATCTTTTTTTTTTTTAAAGATTTATTTATGCATACAAGAACTGGGGTACAGGCAGGCGGGGGAGTAATGAGGGGTGGGGAGGGGATTCACTAGAGACGGAGTGGGAAGCAGAACAGGCAGATGGACTGAAATGCACTGCTGAGGGGAGCAGCAGGGAGACAGGAGAGGTCTGCACCATGTGGGTCAGCTCCTTGCCTGGGGATTGAACTCATGTCGCAGTGGCTGCAGATAGCTTTATAGTGCTTTGTCTTAACCCCTTGTGCTACCAGGGAGACCCTGGGTGTTACCTAATCTTGTGTAGAAAATTCACATAGGAAAGAACGTGTTATGTTTCATCAGGTTCATTGGTGGGAAAAGTAAAAGAATGCAACAAATGTCAAATAACTTTGTAGGTAGAGTCAGCTCTTTGATTACTGAGTGTGAAATAAAATATTACAGATACTATTGAAGTTCTAAATTGTTCCCCAGAACTTCTACCTTTTTTATTCATCTGAATATCCAGTGAAATTTAATGTCATCAAGATTTTTAGTTAGAAGGGACTATTTTGATAACATGTAAAAAATGACCTCACTAGTGGCCAGCGTTTCCCTGGTGGGGATATGTGGCCTCCAAGAGGACCTTCTCCAGCGCCACTCCTGGTGCCGCCACAGCGCCTCTGTTGCACATACATTGCTCACAGCACATACATTGCTCACTGATCAGAGTGCTGGGGTGGGTTGGTAGGCACAATTGCAGGACACTTAGAAGTGTGGCAGGAGGTGAACTAGGGTGTGAGGTGAAAGGGGTGCAGAAAGCCTGGTGGGTGTTGGGGCACTGAGTGCTGGTGTGAGCTGTGCCAGGAGTTGTCCCGGGTGAGGGGATAATTGGGAGGCTGTGACATGAGTGTTCCGATGCTTAGTGAGTTATCTGCACCCCAGCAGAAACCGTTCATTGGCCGGTGTGGACTTGTCTTCATGTGGCAGTTGTATTGTGGGGTTTCTTGGCATCTGTTTGAAACAGCTCAGACCCCTGCATCTGTTGGCACATCCTCACCCACACACCTAAGAGAGGAGCCTAAAGCAGACATTCCTGGAGAAGCACCAGTAACAGGATTTATTGAGCTGGGAGTAAGACTAGGCGAGCTGAGAAAGAGTGTTTGCAAGCTGGCATGTGGCCTGGTGCCCTCTGTCCTAACATCAGCTGAGCAGAGACCGGAGCCAGGCCTTAAGACAAACTGGCAGCTTCTTTACAGATAACCCTCCTTGCCAGGGGTCAAGCTGCCAGAATTCTCAGCTCACCCCAGTTTCCCTTCATCCCTTCTCAGGTGGTAGAAATAGGAAAGTGCCACCTTCTAAGACTTAGTGATCTCTGAGCACCACCCAGTATCTCAGAAGTTGCTCCCTGTGGATCCTCTTTCATGTGTGGTAGGTCAAGGAAGCCGTTAGAGAGCAGAAGGGTGGTGCCCTATGTCTAGGAATCCTCCCTGAGGACCAGCCCAGTGTCCTGAACGCATGGCCACAGCTACACCTTAATTTTGCTTAATATCGACAAAACTAGGCAGATAATCTCAGATTCAGACATTTTTTTAAAGATTTATTTATTTGTGCATACAAGACTTGGGGTACAAGCCAGAGGTGAGGGTGGGAGTGAGAGGGTTCACCAGAGTCAGAGTGGGGAGCAGAACCGGTGGATCTACTTAAATCCACCACTGAGGGGAGCAAGAGGAATACAGAAGAGGTCTGCTGTGCCCCGTGGGTCAGCTACCTGGCCAGGGATTGAACTCGTGCTGCAGTGGCTGTGGATAGCTTCACAGTACTGAGACTTAACCCCTTGGGCCACCAGGGAGGCCTTAGACATTTTAAAATATAGAGTTTTGGGCCTCCCGGTGGCACAGCGGGTTGAGCGCAGTGCTGTGAAGCTGTCCGCAGCCTCTGCAGCGCTGGTTCGATTCCTGTCGTGCCCGCTGCTCCCATCAGCATTGTACGGTCGTCTGCCTGTTCTGTTCCCTGGCTATGTCTCTGGTGAATCCTGTCACCCTACAGCGCCTCTGGCCTGCACCCTAGCTCTTGTATTAAAAAGATACATAAATCTTAAAAAAAAAAAAATAGAGTCTAGCTTTTGTCACCACAGTGACTAGCACAGCAGTCACTAGAAGGTACAGGAATGAATCAAGTCCAGGAGGCTGGTGCTGTGCGCACGCACCCCTATAACCTCTGCGGGGCAGAGGCTTTCCAGTTGTAGGGTCAGGACCTGCCTCCCTTTGTCTCCTCCGAAGAACAAGTCTCCCCCAGGCGGAAAAATCTGGCCACCTTGATTGCTTTCCCGGAGACAGCGGCTCAGCTTTGCCTGTAGTGGGGTTTTGCGGGCGGGTCACCACTTTGGCCAAAGCCCTCCGGCCCCATATCTGCTGGACGCTCACTGGAGGTGGGGAGCAGGTCAGCTCAGTCCACCCCAAAGGATCTTATTGAATCTTTTCAGGAACTTTCCGTCCAGGCCCGGAAGGCAGTTCTCTGAACCAGGGCTTTGTCCAGCTCCCGGCTCTTAGCAGCTGTTTCCTAGCGCGGCCGGGGAGGGAGGGCGGCAGGAGGGAGTCTGGGACACTCCCCTCGGCTCCCTACAGAAGCTGTTCCCGGCTCTTAATCATTCACAGCCCCGCTGGGGCCGCCCAAGCGCCCTCCCTCTGGCTTCCACGACGTCTGGACCGCAAGGCTGAGGACCTGCAATAAAAAACGTCCTCCGGGACGCCGGGCGGGGGGCGCGGAGGCTTGTGGGAAATGTAGTGCCTCGAGGCGAGAGCGGTTCCAGTAAGCGGCTCCGGGACGACGTCTTCCTGGTTACTCCTGCGCAGGCGCCGCCCCGCCCCCGCCCGTCAACTTCCGGTGCCCCCGCCCGTCCGCGTCCGCCGCGCTCCGCTTCGCAGTTTCTGAAGGTCTGTGGGGTCCGAGGGCGGACGGCCCGCCCGGGGCGCCCGGGAACGAGGCGGGAGGGAGCGGGCCGGCGGCGAGGCCCGAGTGCGTGTGTCGGGTGAAGGGGGAGCCTGGACTCTCGGGACAAAGCGGGGAGGGGGCGGAAGTGCTGCGGGGTCCTGGGCGGGACCCGAGTGACCCCTTGGGGGTGCGGGGGAGCCTGCGGGCCGCGGGGGACGAGGCGGCGCGGGCGGAAAGCCCCGCGGCTGTCGGGGCGCCGGACGCGGTGCGGGTGTGGGCCGGGGCCCCGGCGGGTCCAGGCCGGTGCGTGCGCCGCTGCCTCTGCGGGCTGCGGGGCTCGGGGGTCGCGGACCTGGGTTTGCCCCGAGTGTTCCCTGAACGCAGAGTGTTTTCTTCCCAGTGGTCAGTTGAGGCCGTTCTCTGATGGGGAGATTAGACGGCATCCCAGGGCCGCCTCTGACGCTTTCTGAAATGGAAAGTAAGCCCAGGACGGCTGCAGACAGACGCGTTTTCGGTTTAATAACGGGAAGCGTCTTGTTGCCGGCTGTTGCTTCCTGGCTTGCACGGCCCCGCTGTGAGGGGACCTCTCTGAGGTGCCTCCGGCGACTTGCCTGTGCTTTTCCACAGTTCTGCATGTGATTATGGTGCTCCCGTGTTCAGGGTGTCATTCAAGACTTTCTCCCCATACAGACCTGATTTGCTCCAATCATTCAGCTGGGGGGTTAGATGTTCACTTAGCATTTGCAATATAATGAACCAATCTAAATTCTCTGGATTAAAAAAAAAAACACAGAATGAAACCTGGAGTTTCGTCTCTCTGCATGCTGGGATGGATTTACGCAGCTCCTTTGCCGGTGTTGTCTGGATAACAAATGAGGACGAGGTATCTGGTGTCTTGTCTGAGGCTGCTTGGTTTAACATGGCTTTATTTACCTTTTTGATGGTTCGTTCTGGTTATTGGCAACGCCTTGTGCAGCTGTCAGGCTAACCCAGGATCTTCACCAGATGCGAGTGTTGCTAGTGGGGAATCGCCAGTGGAATTTTATTCTGATTTCCTTATGGCCAAAGCAGGCGAAACAGCACAGCCCAAATCATTGTTCCAAGTAATTTCATGAGGAAATACTCCAAGGAAATACGTTTGGGGGAAACTTTACTGGGACCTTGTGCCACCAAAAATGTACATTCTGTAAAACTGAGTGTCAAATGTTGTGTTTCAATAAAAACAGACCCCTGTCTTCACTAGTTTATTTTCACTTTAAAAGCCTCTAATAGGTTTTGTTTCTGGTTTTCTAGATTTCCAGACTCTAAATTTACAGACAATACTGAAGTCTTAAATAACATCTGTATTTCTTTAAAATTATAAGTTATTCCCCTTTCTTTTTTTTTTTTTTTAATTTTTCTTTTCTTTTTTTTTATAGAGGCATGTTTTATTTATTTATTTATTTGTTTTGTTTATACAGGCACTGGCGACAGTCCGAAGCGCGGGGGGGTGAGATAATTCTCCAGAGCCAGAGCGGGGAGCAGAACAGGCAGACTGATGAGGTACACTGCTGAGGGGAGCAGCGGGCGGCAGGAGAGGTCTGCGCGCCATGCGGGACCCTCCTCCGGTGGTCGGGGAGCAGCCGGGGATCGAACCGGCGCCACAGAGGCTGCGGGCAGCTTCGCAACCCAGCGCTCAACCGCTGCGCCACCGGGGAGGCCCCTATTCCCCTTTCTTATGCTTTTCCTAGCTGTATTTTTTTTTAATATTTATTTATGCATACAAGAACTGGGGTACAGGCCAGAGGTGTGGGGATGAGAGGATTCCCCAGAGACAGAGTGGGGAGCAGAACAGGCAGATTGACTGAAAACACTGCTGAGGGGAGCAGCGGGCGAGTCAGGAGAGGTCTGCTGTGCCATGTGGGTAGCTCCCTGGCTGGAATTGAACTCATGATGCAGAGGCTGTGGATAGCTGTGTAGGTTGCATCTTACCCCTTGCACCACCAGGGAGCCCCCCCCCATTTTTTTAAAGATTTGTTTATGCAAGAACCAGGGTACGGGCCAGATGTGTGAGAGGGTGAGAGGATTCACCAGAGACAGAGTGGGGAACAGAACAGGCAGGCTGACTGAAATACACTGAGGGGAGCAGTGGGTGAGTCAGGAGAGGTCTGCTGCGCCATGTGGGTAGCTCCCTGGCTGGCCGGGATCAAACCCGGCACTGCAGAGGCTACAGACAGTTTCACAGTGTTGCGCTCAACTGCTTGCACCACCAGGGAGGCCCTCCTATCTGTATTCTGAGGAAGCTTTTTCACCTTCATTTTCTCCTATCTAAGAAAATGCTCGGACTAGAATTTCGCAATAATCCCTTATAATTACCTTATTAAATATTATGGCATATAGATCAATGATTGAGATGAGACTGTTCTAATACCATATAACTACTAAAAAGGTTATCCAACATATTTTCATTAAGCTCATTAGATTCAAGTGTATGTATAGGATGGCAAATACTAAACTACAAATTTAAATGTTCAATAATATGTTCTCCAACAAATACTAGATGCACTACAGTTGATTAGAATGGAAAGAATATTGCAGATTTCCACTTTCCTCTATTCCTTTTATCTACCAGGCATAAATTATAATTTTTAAAAATCCCTTTAATTTCTTTTGGCTTCAGTTATTTTTTCCCCAAAGAGGATAATACAGGAAATTTTCTGTCTGAAAATAGAATAGTTGTTCCCTTGAGGTCACATTTAACTCTTATAACTGTAAACCTATAAATAAATATTTCCCTTGAGACATGAACATGTCTCTTTAATAAACTTCTAAATTTATTTCACAAGAGATGCACATTTTGAGAATCACTATTCCTGTGAGCAATGTGTAGTTATTACCATTTCTGACACTTGTGTATGAGTGCCTCTGCTAGGGCTCTATTTCTTTTCCTACCTTCAGAAGGGCTTTCTAGGGGCCTCCCAGGTGGCGCAAGGGGTTGAGATGCAGCACTATGAAGGTATCCGCAGCCACTGCATCATGAGTTCCTTCCCCGACCAGGGAGCTAGCTACCCACATGGCGCAGCAGACCTCTCCTGATTTGCCTGCTGTTCCCCTCAGCAGTGTTTTCAGAGTTCCATCCCCAGGCAGGGAGGACCCATAGGGCGGGGCAGACCTCTCCTGTCTTGCCTGCTGCTCCCCCTATCAATATATTTCAGTCGGCCTGTTCTGTTCCCCACTCTGTCTCTGGTAAATCCTCTCACCCTCCACATCTCTGGGCTGTACCCCAGTTCTTGTATGCATAAATAAATAAATCTTTAAAAAATAAAAAGAAGGGCCTTCTAGGCTTCCCATCTGTTTCTCCTATTAGTTCTTCTATTTTCCCCCAAAATACTTATTCAGCCATCATTCATTAACTTTATAGTATGCTGTTGGCATTGAAGATATGTGAGTGGAAGGCATTGCTTCATAGCTTTAGGAGATTATAATCCATACAGAGAAAGTTATATAAAGAGACTCTTATAATACTCTTTTTATTTGCATGGCATACTTTGTTATTTTTTAAAAACTTAGCAACTTTTTTCTATGTTGACTAAAGAGTGTACTTTTATTTCTTGCCCATTTGTCTCACATATATTATTTGCTGTTTTAATACAGGAGTAAGAAACTATCAGGAGGGCCCAATAGATCGTGACTTTTTCTGTTTTATTATTAAACGCGAAATCTCAAAATAGTCTTGTATGCAGTTCTCATGAGGTATATAAAAATTTTCAAAATAATAGATTTGACATAGCATGACTTTGCACTGTACATAAAGTTATAGAAGCTAGCTACACTTTATTTTATATTAATTAAATAGTCTGCTAATTGAGATATGTTTACGTTCATTTTTTAATTTTGATTTTGATTTTTTTTTTTTTTTTTTAAAGATTTATTTATTTATTTATACAAGCACTGGGTACAGTCAGAAGCGTGGGAGGGTGAGAGAATTCACCAGAGCCAGAGCGAGGAACAGAGCAGGCAGAAGGACCGAAGTACACTGCTGAGGGGAGCAGCGGGCGGCAGGAGAGGTCTGCGCGCCATGTGGGACCCTCCTCTGGTGGCCGGAGAGCAGCCGGGGATTGAACCGGCGCTGCAGAGGCTGCAGGCAGATTCGCAACCCAGCGCTCAGCCACTGTGCCACCGGGGAGGCCCTTAATTTTGATTTTTTCATTAAGAAGTAACATTGGTCTACAATCCCGTATATGATTTAGGGGACAGGTTCACACTTAGATATATAACATCGCAACACACCTATCATCTAAACCCTCCTATCCCTTTACCACAGACCATTGGGCCCCTCTGCCCTTGTTCCCATCACCAATCTTGCTCTGGTAGCCTCAGTTTTATAGTCAGGCATAGGTTTGGTTTTGTCACTTCCATTATTTTGTTTCTCTATTTTCTAACCATCAGTGAAATCAGCCAGTATCTGTTTTTTTCCTGCTAACTCGTTGGACTGAGCATAATCCCCTCCGGTCCCATCCATATCTTCACAAATGGCAAGATTTGATCTTTTGTGTAGGTGACTAGTATTCATTGTGTATATATCTTATTAATCCACCATTTGTCTGTAGGCACTTAGGTTGTTTCATAACTTGGCTATTCTGAATAATGCTGCAGTAAAAATAGGAGTACAGAGATCCCGTTGAATGTATTTTTTCATTCTTTGGTTGAATACCAAGGAGTAGAATTTTTGGATTATATATAATTTTTCATGTTGTTTTTTTTAAACATTTATTTATTTATACAAGAACCAGGGTACAGGCCAGATGTGCGGGAGGGTGAGAGGATTCACCAGACAGAGCGGGGAACAGAACAGGCAGACTGACGAAACACACTGCTGAGGGGAGCAGTGGGCGAGACAGGAGAGGTCTGCCTCACCATGTGGGATTCTCGCTGGCTGGCCGGGATCGAACCTGCGCTGCAGAGGCTGTGGACAGCTTCACAGTGCAGCGCTCAACCACCTGCGCCACCAGGGGGGCCCATTACGTTAAAATCTTTAATCCATTTTGATTTAGCTTTTATATGTGATATGAGAGTTGTCTAGTTTCATTTTTCTGCATGTGGCTGTCCAATTTTTTCAACCATTTCTTTTTTTTGAACACCATTTGTTGAAAACATCCCTTTCTCCATTGTATACTCTTGGCTCCTTTGTCATAGCTTGTCTATATAAATGGATTTACTTCTGGACTCTCAATTTTATTCTGTTTGTGTATCTGTTATCATTCCAATACCGTTCTGTTTTGATAATTATGGACTTGTTTTATAGTTTGGAGTCTGAATGTGTTATACTCCATTCCTTTTCTTTTTTGTCAAGATTGCTTTGGCTGTTCGGGGTCATTTGTGGTTCCATATAAATTTCAGTAATGTTTGCTGTATTTCTTTGAAGAATGCCATTGAGACTTTGTATAGAGGTTGTGTTGAATTTATGTATGTTGTGTTTGCTAAGGTGGATATTTTAACTATCCTTGAGTATGAAATATCAGTTCTTGGCATTAGGTATTGGTAAATCAGTAGGAAATGTGTGCTTCACTAAATTTTAGTCTAAATTCTACCAATTACTGATTTTTAATGGTGTTTGGGGGGCATAAATAGCTAGAATGATGGGAGAAAAAAAAAGTAATTAAAAAAATAATAAAATAAATACTACCAATTAATGCACTTATTCATTTCTTGCCTCTTGTCAAAGTGTAAAATACTATTTTCCTACAAAAGTCTCTCTTTTTTCCCCCCAGTTGTTACGTAGAGAGCTTTGGATGGGGATGTCAGGACCCATGAGCAAGTCCCGCCAGTCTTTTCATGTCTCTACTCCCCTCACATTCTCTCCAAGCTCCGCTTCCAGAGTCCTCTGTGTGTTACTGAGAGCAGCACATGATGAACAAACCTATGGTGAGTTAGTTTTTCCTCAGCTTGTTTTATATTCAACTTTATGAGCATTCATAAATTTAAATAAAAAATAATTACAGATAAAATTCCACTTCAGGGAGTTATACCCACCTTGGCTCTAAGATAAGAGAGCCACCAAAAGGCCAAAAACAAAAAGCAAGGACTATAGCAATACAATACCACACAACAGGGGCCTATGGACTGTAGCTGAACAAAGGACAGTGCCTGATAAGAGCACAGGTCACTGTGTGTGGGTTCTCACCCACGCACATGATTGCAAGAGACCTCGGGCTCAGGGAACAACCATGGGGTTTATTTTACAAACAAGGGAACCAAGAGCTTACTATAGCCATAAGTGGTGGCTCCCTCACCCAGATGGTGTCCACCAGAAGTACAAGTAGAATGCCTGTCACCTGTCAACAGAGCTATACCACATTGGCCAGTAGTGATGGTCACTACTTGTCCCCCAGAGATGGTGTCAGAGACATTAAGTGTTAATAGCTCTTTGTGAGTTGTTGGGCTGTATCAACAACAAACAGCTCTTTGAGACACCAGGTCAAGAGCCCTTGGCGCTCCTTTCAGGCAATGGACCAGAGGCCCAGTCTCTGACAAAGGTCTTTGGCTTCTCTTTGCTCCTGGGAGGTTGGCTGCCCTATGCTGCTGCTCTCTTCTTTTAACTTCTGGTCCTTCTTTCTTTGGAAGCCAGGAACAGAGTCTTCCTTCCCTCCTTCCCTCCCTCCCTCCCTCCCTTCCTTCTTCCCCCACCCTCTTTCTCCCCCCCCATCCCTCCCTCCTTCCCTCCCTCCCTCCCTCCCTCCCCAGAAGTGTGGGGGCGGTGAGAGGATTCACTAGAGACAGAGTGGGGAGCAGAACAGGCGGATCGACTGACATACACTACTGAGGGAAGCAGTGGGGAGATAGGAGAGGTCTACTGTGCCATTTAGGTCAACTCCCTGGCTGGGGATTAAACTTGAGCTACAGTGGCTGCAGAGGGCTGACACTTAACCCCTTGCACCACCAGGAAGGCCCTTTCTTGGGAGACTGAAACAGTCTGTCCCTCAGCTCCTTCAGACCCTGGCTTATGTACTCTTTCAGCGTGCTACACGCACAAGTCTGATTGGACCATTTTTCAGTCTTGAGGCTGATTGAACCATTTAGTACCATCAGCTCATAGCTCACATCTAATTGGTACACTCCATAACCCAGGAAGTACACATAAAAGGGCAGTTGCTGGGCTCTGAAGAGCAACTGCCACAACTGACTTGTGGTGAAGCGGCAGGGGGAGAGACCAGCCGTGCTGCTGCTGGTGGCTCCTGCCACTGAGGCTGCCATGTTGTGGTAACAGTTATATTTTCAGGGAAATGTTTGTATTTTTAACCCACTTCATGTAGTTTTAACTCACTTGATGTAAACCACTAACCTGGGGTATGTTCAAATCCAGTGAATCTTTTTTTTTTTTTTTTTTAATAGAGGCATGTTTTTATTTATTTATTTGTTTGTTCGTTCGTTTTGTTTATACATGCACTGGGTACAGTCAGAAGCGTGGGAGGGTGAGAGAATTCACCAGAGCCAGAGCAGGGAGCAGAGCAGGCAGAAGGACCAAAGTACACTGCTGAGGGGAGCAGCGGGCGGCAGGAGAGGTCTGGGCGCCATGTGGGACCCTCCTCTGGTGGCCGGGGAGCAGCCGGGGATCGAACTGGCGCCGCAGAGGTCGCCGGCAGGTTTGCAACCCAGTGCTCAACCGCTGCGCCACCGGGGAGGCCCAAATCCAGTGAATCTTAACTTGTATTTGTCTTACTGGAATCTTCTGCCATATTTGAATCTATTGTCCATATTTGTCTCCTGGAAATTCTTGACTATCAGTCTGTCACCGTCTGTTTGATGATTTCTTCCCTGTTTCCCTGAATTAATGTGTTCCTTTTGACCTGCTCAGCCAACTTTTCAAATCTGGGACCATTCTTCCATGTTCTCCCTGACTGAATCAGCCCTCTGTGGTTTGACAGTCAAAACTGTTTCTTCGGCTGGGACATCTAGCCCTGGTGAAGGCTTTTTTCTACCTGTCCAGAGCAGTGTCAAACTCAGCAAATCCAAAATGAAAAGCAGATCTTCCTTGCTGTCCTTGCTTATATCCTTACATGGGAATAGTCCTTTATAGCCAGAGAAGTCCTTTATAGCCAAAGCGTTCCTCAGAAAGAAAGCAAAGCTGCAGACATTACACTGCACATGTCCTAGCTATATTACAGAGGGCTAACAAAACAATATGGGACTGAGAGTAAAAACTGGAATATAATAGAAAAGTCAGGAAAAACCCATGTGTCAGTTGCCAACTTATCTCTGACACAAACACAGATTTCAAGAAAACAAGGGAAAGAATAGTCTTCAGTTAGGGTGTTGGGAAAACTGGCTATCCACATGTAGAATAACGAAACTGTTCCCCTGTTTTACAGCAAATTGTTTAAATTACACAATCTGTGGTATTTTACAAGGCATTTTTTAAAAGATTTATTTATTTATGCATACAAGAACCGGGGTGCAGGTCAGAGGTACAAGGGGGTAAGAGGATTCACCAGAGACAGAGTGGGGAGAAGAACAGGCCGACTGAAATACACTGCTGAGGGGAGCAGCAGGTGAGACAGAAGAGGTCTGCCGCGCCATGTGGGTTGTTTCCTGGCTGGCTGGGGAGCGAACTCATGCTGCAGAGGCCGCTATTGCTTCATAATGCTGTGTTTAACCCCTTGCACCACCAGGGAGGCCTGGCACACTCAATTTGGATGGACAAATTAAACCACCCACCATCGGTCTACCCTTTTTTTATTTTTGACATTGTTAGGGGGAAGTGATGTCCTGAGTTAATCCCATACAGGATTAACTTTGTGGACTCCACCCCCACTCCAGACTAAAGCCATCAAGACTCTGGGAAAGACAAATCCCATCACCACCAAGGGAGGGTGGCTGGGACCTGAGGGTGGAGTTGGGCAGCCAGGTTGGATATAAAAAACCAAACACGTGGGCCTTGGGCCTTGGGCTCTCTGGCTCGCGATCGCTCGCCTCCTGGCTTCACCGCTCCTGGCTGGCGGCCAGCTCTCAGAGCGCCATTTTGGGATTCCTAATCGGCGGATCGGGTAGGACTCATTTAAAACTTTGTCTCCCACTTTTCTCCCAGAGCTGTACATTTCCTCATTTCCCCTTCCCTTTGTAAATAAACCTTTTATTAACCTTTCACGTGTGCCTGCAGTAGAGCATTGATAAGTCCTTTTAAGCGCGCGGGTGAGGACCCACAGTCAGGCACCCCGTTTTGTATCGGGGTTGCTCTACAACAACATGATCTTTTAAATCAATTTCCCTATATCTCAATGTATTTTTTCTTTAGAACAGTGTTGGCTTTTTTACATACTTACAGCTGATGTTTTTGTCATGCAGTCTCTCCCCATCCATGAACGTGACGTATATTTTCATTTGCTTTGTACTTTTTGGCATCCTTTAGGGTTATTTCCCCCTCATTGGGTTTTGTAGAATAATTTGTTGTATATATTGCTAGGTGTTTTGCCTTTTTTTTTCATTCTATGATTTCTTTCATAAATATGAACATATGCATGCATTGTTTTTGTACCTGCAAATTTATTATATTTTGTTTCTCTTTTGAGTAATATTGTAACAGGGTGGTCCCCAGGAAAGGGGGAGGTTCCAGGTTCCCTGCCCCACCCAAGGGAGGGTGGAGCTGAGCAGGAAGAGGAGAAGCTGCAGAAGAGACTGAGGAAGGAAGCAGGATGGAGCCAGGAGACCTGGAGGAGGCGCATGGAGCCTAGAGACACGTGAAGAAACTGCGCTTGTCTTTTGGTCGTGGACGGGGTGACACAGATGTGGGTGAGACCCGTGGGGAGGTGACAATGGCAGCTTTTATCTTGATGTTGATTTTGCTCTTTTCCTTCCGGGCTTGTCCAGTTGTTTGTGACCCTTTTCTGTGGGTCCCCACTGGAAGATGCTTTAGACTTGTGGCGGGCTTTGGGGCCTTGTTCTGGGCCGATCCCATATGGATGGACTTTTACCCACGAGGGGACGGGTAACTTTGGGTGCTTCATTTAGAAACTAGACTCTTTGCCTTTCCTGTATTGTTTCCTAGTTTTATTAAAGTTCCTTCCCATTAAAGTCTCCTATGTTTTGTGTTGATGCGGCGGATGGCAGAACCCATTTAGAATAGGCAGGTTTGCGGGGTTTGGGCTGACCCTTTTCCCTGTCCTATAACAATATCATGTGATTCTTTCTGGTTTCCAAGGATGAGTTGTATGCAATTTATCATCATTTTCACTTGTCTTTTTCTGTGTTCAGTTGTGTTGCCTGACACTAGTGCAGGGTCACTGTGGTGAGAGATGCCCTTGTCCTGAGGGGCTTCCCATAGATGTGACGCTGGCCCTCACTGTGGCCAAGGCAGCTATACCGAACTGTGTCGAGCAGTTCCCTGAATACTCAGATTTGGAGTCATTATAAATGTGAAGGCGTTTTTATAGCTTTCCATTCAATATCTGTGTGGATGGCCATAGGATTTTCTTCAGAGAAATATGAATGTGATGCAATAGTTTTGCCTAAAAATGCCTTCATTTTTTGTTTGTCATTATTTTTCTGTAAATGTTAGCATTTCTTCCAAATCTCTAATTATTCCCTTTTTTCCTTTCAGTATCTGAGGTCTCCTCTAGGCGTTTTATTCACTCTGATGGCTTTAGGTGCCTCAGAGTTCCAGGTGCTTCCCCAATCTCTATCCTCAGCTGAGGCTCCTCTCCTGACCTGTAGGTCAAACATCTGGTTGGCAGTAGTTCTCTGTCACGTATTTGACCACAAAAACTTCAAGCTTATTATATCTAAGATGTGCCTTCCTTCTATTCATTATATTCTTCTTCCTTTTTCCCTAATTTCACTTTACAATGTCAGCATCGACCTAGCTGGTGAAGCAGACCGCCTGGTAATAAAACTCCATTCACGCTTCTGACAGCAAGTCATTACCACCATCTGTTTCATGGTCTTTTTTTTCTTCCTGTTTTAGGATTAGTTTGCTTTTTGTGTTCCTAAATGAAGGTGGTAATCGCCCTGCCGCGGACCAGCACAGCAGTAGACGATGAGGCCACCTCAGGGTTGAGAGAAGCAGGGTGGTCAGGGTGTTAGGGCGTCTGCGAAAGAAATGACAAACAGACACACTTCAAGAGTGAAAATCTGAGTGTAATTTTCTTTGAGTTTGTGACCAGTATATATATGTTTTCCAAAAGCACAGGAATGAATATCAAAGAAATTCGCTTGCTCATGGGCTCAGTCTATCACCATCAGGGAGGTGATCTACATAACAAACAATGACCATTATAGAAGAAAGGAGGAAGTTTAGAAAGACAGATAAGGGATTAAAGTTTGTAGTTCTAGAAAGACGGGATAAGATTTTTAGCATTCTTGTAGTGGTTCTTGGTGGTCGTTATCTTTTGATAAGCTTCTGCCTTTTCAGGGAACTTCCGCTGAACTTCCTCTGCTTCAGGCTGTTCTCTCCCCGCGCGCTGGTTGCCCAGCCGGATCTAGGGACCCAGGCGAAAGCCATTCCTAAAGATCACTGCGGGGGGAGGTGCAGCAGGTAGGGTTTTGCTGTTCTTCCCCTGCGCGCTGGTTGCCCAGCCGGACCTAGGGCCAGTTAGCCCTAAAGGTCACTGCAGGGGGAGGTGCAGCATCGCCCCACTGGTTACTTTCTGATTCTTCCTTTAGTCCATCTTCCTCCTGGGGGATTGATGTTAAAATGCAAATCTGATCATGTCACTGACCTCTCTGTATCTGGCCCTCATTATTTACACATTGTGGTTTAAGAAGAGGGTTGGTCCTCCCTGGTGGTGCAAGGTTAAGGTTAAGACGCAACCTATGAAGCTGGCTGCAGCCACTACAGCAGTTCGATCCCCAGCCAGGGAGCTACCCACATGGTGCAGCAGACCTCTCCTGTCAAGTAGAGGGTTGTGTTCACTACAGGGTAGAAATAAGCAAAGCATTAGGAAATGGGATATGAACATGTTAAGATGCATGTGTACACACTTTTAATTGATAAGTTATTATAAGACATGGGATCACCTAAGATTTTTCCCTGCTGGATTTAGGATATGAGTATCTATCATCTCTACCTTTCTGTCTGTCTGTCTGTCTGTCTACCCATGTGTATGCAGAATGCTGTCATATACAGTTCCTTGAACATCACCTTACTGTCCATCTCGCCTCCCAGCTCAGGTCTCATCTGGACACAGTGCTCTTCACAGTTGTCAATTGCTAACTATCTTCTCCCATATTGACTTCTGCTGTTGGCTGATGAGAACATGCAGTTAACATGGAAGAGTTAGACATCTTTGGGACTTCTGGGAAGGGTAACCTGTTAGTGCACAGTGCAATTTATTTCTCCTCTTCTATGGCAGTATACGTTGACCATGACTGATTTAGCTTCAGTAGCACGTTATTATAGATATATGTTCATACTTATGTCTCCTCACCAGATTATGAGGATCTGAGAAGCAGAATTTTACACATTGTTTTATTTGTAGTAAGAAGGACATTGCTAGGTTTTCAACAGTACTAACTCTGCAATAGTCCTTGGAGCCAATTAATCAATACAGTGGCAGGAGATTTCTATTATAGCTCTCTCTAACAATACAGAGTACAAACCATGGAGTGTTCTATACAGTATAAAACTCACACAAAAAAAAATGAACTTCCAAACTTCCAGGTCTTCTAACTCAGGCTGATTGAGGAGAAACGAACCATTGCAGGAGATGGTGACCTTTGAGGATGTGGCCGTGTCTTTCACCTGGGAGGAGTGGCAAGACCTGGACGATGCTCAAAGGACCCTCTACAGGGATGTGATGCTGGAGACCTACAGGAGCCTGGCGTCCCTGGGTGAGCCAAACTGCCCAATCACTGCCAGGTGCAAGCACTGTGTTCTTCTTTGCAAAATGTGAAACTTAATGAAGTTAAATCCTTTTTGGCCTTAGATTCCAGGCCAAGATAAAGGTGAGTGTACAACAATTTAATCAAGGATTCAAATTGGCCCTGGATTTTACCACTGCTAAAGTTTTGTTATTGCCACATCGCAGAAGCCATGAGACTGCAGCAGCTTGACCTAAGGCAGACATTATTTTTCTCATCAATAGGGTGCTGCGTGACCAAACCTGAGGTGATCGTCAGGCTAGAGCAAGGAGCAGAGCCGTGGACTGTGGAAGCACTCCCACACCATAGCCTCTCAGGTTAGTCAGTGTTACATGGCAGGGAGGCCAGGAAGAGTTGAGCTCAACAGGTGTTGGTCGTTGTTTTCACAGGCATTTTCCCTAGGTCCAGACCAAGACTTCATGTGTCAGACTCAGTCATTATTCCTTCTTCACCTACGGTTTCTTTCTTCACCCATGGTTCCCTGTCTTTAAATTTTTTTTTTTTTTTGCTTAGACTTAACCAAAAGCCAGTCACTACCTGCCTCCTCTTATAACTGGCTTTGGTTAGTTACTGTCTCTGTATCCTCAGTCACTATCCTTTCCTCCATTCTTCTTGACTGTGTTCTCTTAGACTTCTATTCATACCTTTGTTTTAATTCTTTAAACGTATTAATTTTGAAATTTTAAACACGGCACATGTACTTTTGCTAATATCAACAGTAATCACATAAATGTCCTTTTTTAATAGAGCTTACATTCTGCTAAGGGAGAAAAATAAAGCAAATAAATGTTTAACAGTGCAATAAGAGTCAAAAAAATTTTAAGAATAATAAGAGCTAACAAAGGAGGGCAATATTCCTAAAACAGAATTTATAACTTTAAGGTGGGTGTTTTCCATTTTGACATAAATTTTACGTGTAGATGCCAGTTGGGGTAGAGTGTGCATCACCACTGGGGGGCCCAGTGAGGGAATCATTTACTCAGGTGGGAAGAAGTAGGGGGTTGACCTCGGCAGCAATTAGGGGCCTGGCAGAGACATCCAGGACATGCCTGCGGACCAAGCTTCAGCCACCGAGAAGCTGAGCAGGACTTAGCCGGCTGCTCACCTGGGAAAGGTGTGGGGCAAGAAATTAGAGTTTGTTTCTCCTGTGGAGCCAAGAGTTGTAGACTGCGGGGCTTACAGTTTGTGGGTGTAGTTTCAAGTTAGCATTTTCATTTTCTCTTGTGGAAATTATTTAAAAAAAAACAAAGTAATAAACATAAAAGGAATTCTACTTTCACTCTAACTAGGTTACAGCTGAAATTCCTAAGTATAAGTCTTCAGAACCAGTGAATTATCAAGTAGGCACTTTTGTACCAGGCAGTTGGGGGATGTTAGGGATCCTGATTTCAGAAGGAGCCAGAATAAGCCTTCTCAGAGGTGGTGGACACAGCCTGGGTTGCAGAACCTAAAATCAGCAGGGAAGTGTATGAAATGGTGAGTTAGAGTTTCCTGAACCTGCTGTATTTCTTGGAGGCCATTGATGTAGTACTCAATTTGGAACTTGCGAGCTGTGTTCTCTAGCTTGGAGATGCTGTTTTGTCTTTGGAACAGCCCAACAATGCTCACAGCATTTCCCAGGGTATAGAATTTGCTGCACAAATGTGGATACAAAATTCTTGTTCCTCTCCAATATTCCTGCTTAGATGGCAGACAAGTGTCCTACCCCTGAGTCAATGTGTAACAGATTCAGGAAAATCATGCCATTTTCCAAGCTTGAGTAATTAATAAAGGCAAGAACAAGATAGCTACATATAAGAGGAAAGAATAGTAAAAACAAATGGCTGTATCCTAGTGAAAACCTCTCAGTATAAACTACAAAGTAGAAATATTTTGGCCAAATTTTTGCTCATGAAATAAAATCTTAAGCAAAATTAAAAACTTGATTGAAATTAGAATCTATTAATTTTTTGTCACATTAATTGATTCTGGAGACAAATCACATGTATATCTTAAAACCATTATTTATCATTATAAGCCAGTATTTTAAAAAATGTACTAGTACAGAAAGAAACATCTTTATCTTTACATTAGCTTTCCATAAGAAATGCTAAGATGTTCGTATGTATGGTTATTTTCATATCATTTTAGATGTCCAAACTGGGGGTGACTTGATTGAGAAAAACGAGGAAAACCAGGGCAGACATTTCTGGAAAATTGACTTCACCCACAGCAACTCATCAAGTAAGGAGAATACAAGCATAGGAGCAACATTTAATTTGAGCTCAAGCCATGTTTCAAAACTGATGATAAGTAACAGAAACTATTCTGGAATGACGCCTGAGGAGTTTAATGTATGTAAGATGTTTCTCCCTGGTGAGTCTGATGAGATGCACACTGCAGAAAAACATGGGGGCCGAAATATATCTCGGAAACCCCTCAGATACCATGAGCATCGTGTTCTTCATCACGTGATTCAAACTATGCAGCAACCTTTTGAGTTTAGTGGACAAGGGAAAGCCTTCAATAAGAAGGAACGATTATTTGCACATAGAAGGACTGTAACAGGAGACACCACTTATAAGTATAATAAATTTGGGAAAGCTTATGATAAGTCAGCTCTCATTACCCAAGAGGAAATGCATGTAGGCGAGACTCCTGGTAGATATAACAGATGGGGAAAAATCTCTTCTGAAAAACCAACAAAGTTGAGTCTTCCTAGAGCTCATTTTGAAGACCACAGATGTAATCTAAGTGGGAATGATTTCAGCAAGAAATTGTGCTTCACTCAGTTTCAGAGATCTCAAGGAGGAGAAACTGAGTATAATGTATGTAGTGATACTTTCTGTAAGATCATGAATCTCAAACAGAAAAAATATAGCAGTGACAAACTCTATGAATGTGAAGAATGTAGGAAAATTTTCTATCATAAGTCAGCCCTCAGTAGACATCATAGAACTCACACAAGAGTAAAACCCTATGAATGTAAAGAGTGTAGGAAACCTTTCTACTGGAAGTCAGCCCTCACCAGGCATCAGATAATCCACACAGGCGAAAAACCCTATGAATGTAAAGAGTGCAGTAAAACTTTCAACTGGAAATCAGCCTTCACTGTACATCAGCAAACTCATAGAAGTGAGAAACCTTATGAATGTAAGGAATGTGGGAAAACTTTCTACCACAAGTCATCCTTCAATAGACACCAGCGAAATCACACAGGAGAGAAACCCTATGAATGCAATGAATGTATGAAAACTTTCTGCTACATGTCAGAACTCACTGTACATCAGAGAATTCATACAGGAGAGAAGCCCTATGAATGTAAAGAATGTAGGAAGATGTTCTCTCAGAAGGCAGAACTCACTGTTCATCAGAGAACACACACAGGAGAGAAACCCTATGAATGTAAAGAGTGTAAGAAAACTTTCTCTCAAAAGTCATCTCTCACTGTCCATCAGAGAACTCACACAGGGGAGAGACCCTATGGATGTAAAGTATGTAGGAAAACTTTCTACCAGAAGTCAAACCTCACTGCACATCAGAGAACACACACAGGAGAGAAACCCTATGGATGTGAACAATGTTCGAAAACGTTCTACTCGAAGTCAGAGCTCA